AAATCATTAAATTCGTTTAAGTTTATAATAAAAAAAGAAGTTTTTAAATTAGATAAATAGTTTTCTTGATTTTTCGAAATGAAAAACGAGTTCCATTATTCTTAGTTTTTTTACTTGTTAATTGGCTTTTATTTTGATATTTAACAGAGTTGCCAATATATTTTAATGAATATTGATAAAACTATATGATGTTATTTACTTTCTTGATTTAATGGAAATATTTATGCAAACTTTAACCTTTTTATTATATTGGAGATACTATTTTTTTTAACTTGTAAAGCCCACCTAGGGGCTCTATGAAAAGATTGTGGTGACTTTAGTCATCCGTATCTTCTTTGAGCCCCTGCCTGTTTATTATAATTCACTTTTTTTTTGTATGTAAACGTTTCTTTGTAATTATATTTCTTATTATATAAATAGCAAATATATATTAAATTAAAAAAAAAAAAAAATTATTTTTTATAGGTAGCAGCAGATTCAAACATCGTTGCGAGATAATATAAATTTTTTGGGTTAAAAATAGGGGGAAGGGCAAGATTTTATGACGTCCTTTTCAAGGGGGTATAGAGAAAAAGGACAACTGATGACAAAAGGATAAAAGGGGGTCAAAAACTGGCTAAAAAATAGTAACGTCTTTTATGGACAGCCTCTTTCCTTTGTGTTTTCAATAAGCACAAATGTTTGATTGTATGTTGTTGATCGCTGACAGAACATTGTTTCTTTAAAATTTTCCATACTTGGTAGCAAAATTAATTTTCCATGTTTATTGTCACTATTTTTTGTGCACAAACATTTCGATCAGCTTCAACTCTATATTTGTTTCCTGCGTGTCCGACCCTTTTTATTTAAAAACTCCATGTCATGCAATCTGTACAGTTTAAAGTTAAAGTTAATTTAGAATGATTCTTTTCTCCACAATGTGTAAATAACTAAAGGCATGTGTAACACTCTCAATGCAACTTAGGCATGGGTCACGTTTCTCCGAACAAAAATATATGTTTTTTCAATGTATAGTAATGTAAATTATATATGTAAGTTATAATATATGTAAGTTTTTTCATCAAAAAGTATGACATATTTGGTATGCATAGAAAGATTATTTTAACCACTATTTTAATCTGGTAAAATGCGACTATAACAAATCATTGTTTTATTTTATTTTAGCTTTATTAAGAAAGCATGAAATTAAAGTACTTTGGGGCTTGGCTAATATCTATAGATTTGAATTTTTTAATAAAAGTACGTATTATTGTTTGTTTTCGATGAATGTAACTTGACATTTCTAATCAAAAATTAATTAGGAACGTTTTCCATAAAAAATCATTTTTTTAATGAAAATTGAAGTTATTATTTTTAATACTACACCTAGATGAGTATGTTTATATAAAATGTCACGTTATATTCATAAAAACTGGTAGTGTTAATATTTCTACAAAAGTTTTTGCATAATTAATCATTACATTTAGCCCCATTCAAAAAATTGTTTTCGGTAATTGGTATCATTTTTCGAAATACTTTACGGCCATCTTGAAAAAATAATTTATTCTATTCAGAATGCGTAAACAACTAAAAAACAGAGACAATAAACTTTTTAATTTTTTTTTTAAACTCGTTTCGTTTTTATATCAGTAGTAACCTTTAACTAACATTTGGTTTCTTTTATTTTCATAACAATAATTTATAAGTAACATAAGTTCCTTTTTTTTTTATATTTATTATCTTTTTTTATTTTATATTTATTCAAAAGCAATTTTTATTCACCCGGCCTATTTTTTCATATAGAATCGTAATCGTCATCCGTAAAATACATACGTTTGGAGAGAAAGACGGGTCACCCAATGGCGTATATAAAATGGGGGGCCGTGGGTCGATTATAAAAGTAAGGAGACACTTAATAAAAAAAAATATCATAAAATGTTGTGTATGTAGGTTAAAAGCGTAGGTACTTTTAAGGAAGTGGAGGGTACTCAAAAAAGAATTTAGCAAAATGTAAAGAAGGGAGGAGGGTCAAAATTTAAGCTTACGTACTTTATGACGACCCCTAAGCAGTGCCGTCGAAAGGGGAGGTCGTGAGAAATAACTTGCCCAATACTTATTTTTTAAAATTAGTATATTTTTTTTCCAATCCATAATATAATTAAGATAATAAGTTTATTTGTAAATAAATATTTTAATTACAATTCTCTTGTAAAACTGCAAAATTTAAAATATTTATCAAATAGTGTTTTTCTCAAAATATTTATCAAATAGTGTTTTTCTCAAAATATGTAAAAAGCAACTTACCTCCCCTCTCTCCCTTGTCAACAATTTCTCAAAATTTCAGAGATTCCCCTATAAAATGACATCAATTTTTGATTACACCCTCCTATCCTATACAAAGAAGCTACGCTACAAACTCAGCCAAATTTTCCGTTATTTAAGCAATGAAACTCGAAAAAAAAAAATTGTTGACATCAACTTTAATTGACCTCCCCCTCCCCCTTGTTAACAATTGTAAAAAATTGTTCAGACACCGCCCTCCCCCCTATTTTATCGACGTAATGGATAATCCCTGAGGTGTTTTGAAAAACGACTGTATTGTTGATAAAAAAAATGTTGTAAATTTTTATATTTTGTATTGCATTTATGTCTCCTTTAAAAAGTAAGGTCCTCCATTGCAGACCTATGTCTTGAATATTGGGATCTTGTGCCGAGGTTACAAGGATCCGTGCCACAGGATCCCAACTTTAAAGACATGTTTTTAAGGAATCTTAACTTTTAAGACATGTCTTAAGGGGAGTAGTGATCTGCAAAAAGCTTTCAATAAAGTAATGGATGAGGGAAGGGATATAATGAACTTGAGAAAATCAGCTCTCTAATTTAAAAAATATTCCTTTATTTATAAGGTATTTTCTAAACTAAAACTTTTTTAATTATTAAAAAAAAAAGTGTACGTTCTTTTTAAGGGGGTGAGGGAGGGGGGTAAAGGACTATTAAAGTACCCATTGCAACAGGGGGAGGGGAAGTCAAATTTCTAAATCGGCGTACGTAATAAAAATAAATTTAATATATTTGAATATATTAATAGTAGTGCAATTAATAGAACAAATTTATAAATAATAAAGTATTAATTTGAATAATTAATATAAAATTGAAAAATTAATAAAACTAATATAACATTTTATTAACTAAGATAAAAACCAATGCGATAAAGGTGAAAAAAATTCTTTTCGCTTTTAAACTTTTCTCTTTAATATTATCAATGGTTGCGATAGTTACGATATCGTTAAATAAGTTACTTTTTTCGAATTTATAAAAAGATTTTTTGAAGTTCGATGATCGAGTCTTAACTATAAAAACTCACACTTTTTGATTTTTTGCATAAAATGCTTTACGAAATCACTTTGTTACCATTGTTTATAAAAACTCTTACTGGCAAAACTTGTAAATTTTTGTAAGTAAACTTAAGTTTTATATCGAAAAATTTTTTTTTTTAATCATATATGGAAATTTAAATTGAATTGTGGCAAATGATAACTAATGACGACGATCTCTTGAATTGAATTGATGATAACAATTTTTTTTTTATATTTTAATATATTTTAAGTAAATTATTATGTTTAAAACATCTTAAAATTTTTTAACATTTATAAGCTCATTCTATTCTAAGATTATAATTTTAACCGAATATACTTATTGATTTTTCTTTACATTCGATTTAATAAATTTATTAAACATTTCTATAATAGAGTACTATTTTTTTTGCGTTTCAACAAATCGTCAGAGTTTTAATAGAAACTGTGACACTAAAGTTAATAGTAGGTTTTTGTTTTTGTTTACAGCCGAAGTTAAATTTCCTGCTACAATTTTTTCGGCAACAAAATACGGAACTAGATTCTTGGTTACATGAATATAATTTCAGTTTTAATACAAGCATGCATTCAATATAATTTATAAAAAATTTTAAATTTCATCTATTTGATCTATCGGTTTTTCTTTGCAACCTTAGTTGCTTTTTTTAGGCATCTAAGCTCTATTTATGCATTTATTTAAACATTTATGCATTTTGTAGCTATGCTTATACGATGAAATAATTGTTGTCGAATATATCTCCTTAAATATGAAAGTTTGTTTTCTCTGAACATCTGCTCTTTTTTTTTTTTTTTTAATTATTATTGTACATGACAGAATTTTTTTATATAAATATTTCGTCTTTCGTCTTAATATGAAATGTGAAAAAAACGCTTTTATTTTACAGTCTAATTCAAAAAACGTTTCCTATCAACGTCAAAATCGAATTATCAAATAATTTAACCCTCACTCTTTGATGTTTTTTTAATTTATTTAAAGAATATATTTCAAAAAAGATTGTCGAAGGAGATTTTCGATTGTAAATTCTAAATTTAACCAAGTTCTATAGATATTCGTTTTATAAAAACAGAGTCTTCAAATCTGGGTATAAATAAAACACATTTTCTTTTTATCTTTTTAAATCAAAAAAAATGATGATATTTATTTCGAATAACAAGATGAATGAAATATAATAATAAGAATAAGAATTAATTAAAGTATTTTTTTCAATTAAATAAATTATAAATCTGTCTTATGTTATTTTAAATAAAACTATATTATATATTATATGTATATTATATGTTGTTATAAGTTATATATATATAAACATTTATAATAAAGTTTTATTTACATAAAAATAATGTTTAAATTAATAAAATCAGTATATTTTTTATAATTTTTATTTAGGTATTATTTTGTTTAAAAGTTTTATATATAATTTTATGATTTAATTTTAATGTGTTTATGTATATAATATTATAATGTAAATATAATGTATTAATAATAAGAAACTTTATTCAATTTTTTATTTAATTATAGTATATTAATTATATTTGTATATAGAAAAATAATAATATTATATGTATAGTATCACAATTTTGATTATTATTTTATTTTTTGTTTCTTATTTATTTGTTTAATGTTATATTTCACATTTAATTTTTCTTTAGATCGTCTATCTAAAAGTATTGAAAAATTTGATGATTTCAATTTTTTCTACGAATGTTTTTACGAAAGTCAATCGTCATTCACTGATGAAATAAAATCAATTGTTGATGAACTAAATAAACAATGGTTTGGTTGGTTGATTTCGATTTACGATGGAAAAACTTCTTACGCAACTTCTTGCAATAATTATTTCGTAAATTATTACATAAAATCTGGAAGAAAGTTAAAGCGGTTAAGTGTTAATAAAAATATTTTAAGTGATGAAGAAAAAAATCTTTTAATTCGATGTTTAACTAATGTTCGCAATGTCAACTTTTATCGTCCAATTAATTTCGAAGGATGGAAACCGAAAGATAAGATTAAAGTGTTGTGGATATTGATCTCAGATTATTTAATAACAAAAAAAGATTTTAAAGAAAATTTTCTTCCTTGGATTAATCTTTGTGAAGAATTAAATCTTTCACTTCACGACGACATTGATTTCTTTAAAGACATTTGTGAATGGATTCGTTGTTCGAACATCAAGAAGTTTAAGATCAAGTACCGTGGAAAATATTTTCGTAACGTCGATGAATTAACTTTATAACGCGGGAAAATGTTTAATATTTTAAATATATAAAATAAAAACAATAATTATAAAATATTAAATATTAAACAAAAAATTTAATTTATTTTTTGACTATATATGCTTTAAATATACGAAATAAAGTAAATATATTATAATTAAAACTAAAAAGTTGAATAAATCTTACATTATGAAAATAAAATATAATTTATTTGTTTTAAAATATATGAATAAAAATAATTGTGGTATATAACTTTTTATAAATATTATTTGTTATTGTTATTTTTGTTAAATCATTATTATATTATTAATTTTTATGGTTTTTAATATAATGTTGATATACTATATTAATCTTCCTAATCTAAATCTATGATGTACTATATTTATAATTGTATTTATGTATGTAAGTATGTATGTATTATAATAAATATAATTACTATATTTTTAATAATAATTATAATTGTTTAATGTTTTATAATTTTTTTTTAATATGCATGATAAATATATTTATTCTTTTATAACTAATTTTTTTGCAAATACTAAAATTTGATTGAAATATCTGTTTGGTGTATGTATGTATCTGTATGGTTAATAAATTTTCTACTTATAAAACAAATTTTTTAACTGCAACATTTCTTTTTTATACTTGACCTTTGTTATTATACATGGTGTTTAAGATAAAGTGTTAAGGTTTATTGAAACTTGAAGAAATTATTTTTTAAGTTTAAAGTGTTCACCATTTGTTTCTTTATGATTTTTGTTGTCATCGAAATATAAAAATTCGAAAGTTTTTTTTTTCGAAGTTTTTTTTTCGAAGTTAAATTTTTATTTTAACGTTTGTTTAATTGTTAATTAGACATTAAATTTTATTTTATCGATCTTTGATCCAAATGATAAAATAAAATTATATTCATTTTAGCTATGCACAAAAACATTGTTTATGTCAATTATTTTTCAGATTTCAAGTTTTGCGCCGTTTTTTTCTTTAAGATTTTCGTTGTCAACGAAACAAAAAAAATTTTGTGCAGATATTTTTTATAAAATATTTTGTTCGAAAGTTAAATTTTTAACGTTACTTGATTGTAAATTAAACATTAAGTTTTATTTTATTGATATTCGGTCTGAATGTTTTATAAAAGTTGTTTAAAAACATTAAACTTTACTTAAACAAAAACTTTAGGGTTTCTTATATTTTGTTGCATAAAATCTGTGGAGTATATCGTTGTAAAATGCATGATGTTATAGCTTTTCTTAAGGTATAATAAATGAATTTCGGTAAAATGCTGTAAATAATTATACAGGAGTAAATTTTATTTTTGTTACTTATATCCGAATAGAATTTAGACTTGTTAGAATATTGAAGAGTTTATTTAAACTAAAAAAATGTCTACAAAAATTACTAAACTTGCATAGCTCATTAAAATATAAACGTGTACGTATACATATTTTACTATCTGTATAAAACCAGAAAAGAAACTTCCTCGTCCACTCTTTACACACACCACCTTCCGGCGCACAGTGAGTCAGAAAGGTGAAAAAACGGTAAAAGTTGTATAAGTATTAAATATAACCATGTGATACATCATTTAATTTGATATAACAAATAATTTTACGCGTGCAAGTGTTATTTACACGCGCAAAATTTAACTTATAAAAAATCGGACTCCTTGATCCAAAATACCATAATATAGAATGCCATATATTTTAAATATAGATTTTACCTGTCCTAAGGCGCGTACTACACTCGCGTATACGTGTAAACGTCTTTTTACGCGCACAAAGACTTTTAATTTTATAAAAATTCTTCAAACCAAAACATTAATTACTTAAAAAGAAAAATTGGATTCAAAAAATATTTTTATATTATAATAATATTAAAATATATTAAATACAAAATAAATATTTGTCTTATCTAATTTTTCTTTTAAGAAAACCTAATATTAATAATATTAAAAAAAAAAGAAAACCTAATATTAATAAAAAAGCTTTATTTCATTATTACGGCATTAACAAAGATAAAACTTTAAGGGTACAGGTGGTTGCACCTTAAAAACCACTTAAAAGTAGGAGAGCCTAGAGCTTTTTTCTTAAGAAAAATAATATTTATTAAGCTATTGAAAGAAAAGCTTAAATGGGGTTCTTCCTGATAGGTATGGTTTAATATGTCTCGCTTGTTTTCTTTTGCTTGAATGTTGAAGCTGACTCTTTTTTTCGCCATGCACCCCAAAAACAACATTAACTAATTTAGCTATAATTTCTTAACTTTTAAGAATTTTAACCTGATTTTTTGAAGAAGATTGAAATAATAAATTGCTCTTAGGATGATTGCATCACTGTTAGCTTATATTTTATAGAACACTTCAAATGTACTACCAAAACCACATCAAGCGACAAGTAAAAGTGTTTATAAACCGTACACTGAGTTGTTCATGGGAAATGGCATGTAATCATTTAGGTATCATTTTGAAAAGTTTTATAAGTATCATTCTACGTTTTTAAATATACTTATTTCTATGTAATATATATCAGATTCGCTTGCTAAAGAACTAGTAGAAGTTGGTGTTATGGAAGAGAAAAATGAAGCAGGGGTTTGGAATGGCATTGTTGATACTAGTCGAATATTTAATTGTGATGAAACACCCTAATTTATTAACTATGCAGTTGATGGTACCAATTCTGGATTATTTTATGCTGGCAAAGGGAATGTATGGCAAAGAATTTATAGAGAAAACAGAGAATGTGTCACAATTCAACCATTTATTTCATTTTCAGGTATGCAATAATACGTGGTTTAAGAAAAAATGTATAAATAATAATACTTGCTTAAGGGGGAAACGCCCTCTAATTTTACCCAAAATTTGTAAAAAATATTTTTACTTATGCATTTAAATGTATGCAGAATTAAAAATTATTTCTTTGTATACTGATTTTTATCATTTAGGCCTTCAAATTTTGTATTTTCTTAAGGTAACTCAAAATTTATACCCTAACAACGCCCATAGCAACGGTGTAGCACCTTAATAAAAATCCTAATAACAAATGTATATTTTTAAATAACTACAGTAAAATGCTTGGTTTGGCTTCTTTACTCATTCAGCTAGCGAAAATAGTTTGGTTCATTAAATTAATTACAGTTTTCTGTTATTCTGAAGCTTTTGAAGTTGTCAACTTTCTTAAAATTTTTTAAAAAATGAGTAAAGCCTGTAAAATAAAATCAAGAACAATAATTAAAAAAATGAGAAGAGGTTTCTTTGGGAAGAAATTTAAGTCTTGACAAAGAAAATATTGAAATAAGGTTGAATGATAACCCTGCTGTAACAATTTTGACTGTTTGAAATACTATATATATAGAGTCTGAGTTAAATTTATTTTTTACATCTGTATCTGCGAAAAAAGTAAAGCCAATTGAATGTTCCAGACCTTTTACAAGAATGAAAATATCTGGATATAAGATTATAGATTGCTCTATATTATCTGACATATTTAGTGCTTTAGCATGTCCTCAATGTAGTGAATGTTCATCCTTGTAATTGTCCGAAAAAATGCAAGACAAAAAAGGACTTGCCTCAAAGTTAATTAAGTTAATCAAGTGCTATAACTGCAAAAAATATAAAAATTAGTTTTATACTTCAAAACAATGTAACAGAGCATATGATATTAATTGTAGAACAGTATACGCAATGTGTTCACTTGGACAGGGACATTCTGGTATAGAAAAATTCACCACTTTAATGAATATGCCACAACCAATGACACAATATAATTATGATAAATTAGCTGTGAAAATAGGTGCTGTCACACAAAAAGCTGCTGAAGATACCATGTTTGATGCAGTAGCAGAATTGCGAAAACATGCTGCTAATGATGACGTTTTTGATATTGGTGTGTCATATGATGGTACTTGGCAGAAAAGAGGTTTTCCATCATTAAACGGTGTCTTTTCTGCATTATCAATGGACACTGGAAAGGTTTTAGATGTGGAACCATTGTGTAGGTTCTGCAAAGTTTACTTTTTGAAGAAAGATCATTTAAAAACAAACCCTACGGCCTATATCCAATAGAAAAACTCTCACATTTGTAAAAATAATTACAAAGGATCTGCAAGCGGTATGGAGTCCACTGGTGCAAAAGGTGTATTTTCAAGATCTATAGATAAGTACAAACTGCAATATGTAAATTATTTAGGAGATGGAGATAGTAAAAGTTTCATTAATGTCATAGACACTTATCCTGGCATTCAAGTTGATAAGTTAGAATGCATGGGACACTATCAAAAACGTTTTGGTTCACGACTACGAAATTTAAAGAAGAGAGAAAAAGGTCTCGGTGGACATGGTTGTCTTACAGATGCAGTTATTGATCGTCTGCAAAATTTCTTTGGCATTGCTATAAGGCAAAATGCTGAAAACTTAGCAGGTATGAAGGCAAGCGTATTAGCTACATTATTTCATGTTGCATCTTCCAAAGCAAATAACTTGCACTTTCCTCACTGTCTACCGGCATTAATAGTTGGTGCAAGTTCAACTTTGATAAAGCAAATAATACCAACACTTACAAATCAGGTCCAGGTCTTCCAATGAACATAATTTTTAAAACTAGACCCATTTTTGAGGAAAACCCATAACGCTAATGAATCTTTCAATAGTATGATTCAATAGATATGAATATATAGGACCGATTACCAAAGACCAGGTATGTGTCATTTGATAATTTGAAATTTGGTGTGTATGATGCGGTAGCAAATTTCAATATTGGCATGAAAGCTTCAGTGTTAGTTTTTGAACAATTAAATATGTTACCAGAAGCTTTTATGGTTAAAGGTTCCAATAAAGTAGACAATAAACGAATAAAACAATCTTATTATAAAATAAATGAAAAAAATAAGTTGAGATGACAGCTAAATAGAACAAAAAAACTTGAAAAAAATGACAATAATTTGGAAAAAGAGGGTATAACATATAAACCAGGAGGATTTTAAATACTTTTTTTTATTTAAAGAAGTTAATGATTGTTTTTTTTTACATG